GTGAGGACATTTAGTACATTTAATTTGACCTCCCAAATGATGCCATTCAGTAGGCTGAGGATAGATCTAATAGGTGGGCATGATCACAGTCTACTTTGTTAGACTAATTGATCTCAGCATTCTGCAAATGTGTGCCCAACAACAGAAATGAACCTCTGCAAAAGGAGGTCTTTAGCCTAGCTTCAGAAGATGGTGTTCTGTGAGAACAACTGCACGCAGAAATACTTCTACTGACTTTGGAGCCAGCACTCATTCTTGTTATTGTTTTACTATCCTTTAATATGGTGGTCTAAAACGCCTGTGCTTAGGGGGCAGTGAAATGGTTGGTGAGCAAGATCTGGGTTCAGGAGCCTTGCCCAGATGGACAGCTTAGAGCTTTGCTTATTTCTCTCATTTAGTCCTTTTATAGCAAATGGGTGTAGGTGGTTGGAGGAGATGGAAGGACCCCCAGAGCTATGGAACCAACTAACCTGGAACAGCCAGCAAATAAGCATCCATCACAAAATAGAGGGTAAAGAATGACACTAGAATCTGCCCTCTGACTTCTATATGTGCACTGTGGCAGGCACATTTGCGTGCATGCATGTGCACGCACACACACACACACACACACCACATACATACACACTATACACATACACCAAACACACCCACACACACCACACATACAGACAGACATACACCACACACACACACACACACACAAACACACACACATACCACACCTCAACCTTTTTTTGTTATGTGATTCTTTTAGAGGCAAAGAATTGGTAACAAGAAGAACTTTGTTTTTATCTTGTTTGTGTTTATTACTTCCCCATCTCTTGGCTTCTTTTTTGGAACCCTAAGCATGGTCTCTACACACCCTTAGCTACCTCCAATATCCTTGAGGGGGAAGCCAAATGAAGCTATTAATTAAACAATTACCAGCATTGGAAAGACAACAAAAGAAAGAATACTGCACAGAAATCTAGAAGGCTAAGATGTAGTTTGGGCCCTGCTACTTATTGGCTGTGCAGTCTTGAGCTAATTGCATCATCTCTCCGAATCCAGTTTCCTCATTTGTAACACGTGATTAACCAATTTCAAAACTCTTTCCAACTAAAAGTATAATAACTCCTTCACTTTTTCTTTGCTGAAAATTATACTCTCCGTTGGGTATTATTCTGTGGCTACAACCTGTTTTCCACAGGTAATGCCGAGTTTAGAATACTGTAGATATGCCTACCAGGGTCAGGCATGCTGGTGCTCACAGTTAATCTCAGTATATTGGAGGTACTGGAATGCAGATTTCTGTAAGTTCAAAATGAGTCTGGCCTACTTATCATGTTTAAAGACAACTGAAACTACATAGTGAAACCCTCAAACAGCAAACAAACAAACACAAAAACAACAAAACTGTGCATATCAAAACTAGAAGTATTCAAATTGTAAGACCCTTGCTGGAGTTTCGAGAATGTCTAGTATCTGTAAGAAAATGTCCACAGAGTGTGTCATCAATAAATTTTGCTTTACATTCTCAATTTATGTAACTTTTTTGTAGTGATAAGAGCGGCGGGTCTGTATCCCCGGCACCCAGCCACTTGCCTTGCTAGCTTATGCCCCGAAATAATTACACGGAAACTGTATTCTTTTAAACACTGCCTGGCCCATTAGTTCCAGCCTCTTATTGACTAGCTCTTACATATTGATCTAACCCATTTCTAATATTCTGTGTAGCACCACGAGCTGGCTTACCAGGAAAGATCTTAACCTGCGTCTGTCTGGAGTGGGAGAATCATGGCGACTGTCTGACTCAGCTTCTTTCTCCCAGCATTCTGCTCTGTTTACTCCACCCACCTAAGGGTTGGCCTATCAAATGGGCCTAGGCAGTTTCTTTATTAATTAACCAATGAAAGCAACAGACAAATGACTATGACCCTCCTCCATCATTTTCTATGAAAAGTCCTGTTTTATTCAGAGTCTCTTCATGAGGCCCTATGAAATAATAAGATATGATGTCTGTGGTGAAAACAGATTCAAATTCTGGCCCCATCATATATTCTGTAAATTATTGGCTTTGTAATTCTTCAGTGTGTTATGTAACCTTTCAAAACTGCTACAGTTTTATGTCAATAAAATAAAATCAGATATTTGTATTACAAAGTCTGGAGGTTAAATAAAATAATTTTTACCAAGCATTGAATGCATTTTTAAAAGTTCATTCCTTATCTATAAATTTCCCTGTCCAAATTATACCCGTGTCCTAGTATTTCTATAAAATATATAACATAATAGTGTTACTTGCCAAATTTAGATGTCGAGAATATTTCCTGATATAATTTATTGTTTTACCTAAACAATAACCCAGGAGCTATCTTGTGTCTTGATTTTCCCCAACAAATGTTTTATATCATCAAAGACATCAGTTTTAGGTGATACTTAGCCAACAATAAACTAAGAAGTTCACATGTTATCTTTTATAAAAATGTGAACACACACACACACACAAATATCCACACATACATCCAAACACAGTTCTTTGCACGTGAACATGTGTACACACATTTTCAAAGAGTGTTAGCCATATCGGTAAAATACCTCTGTTCATTTGACAGGTTGATTCAGTGATGGCAGGAGCAATAAGAGCTCTCTTTAAGAAACCACCTTGTTAACTGTTCTACTTAAGAAAAGCTTCCATATTTTTAGAAAAAAAATTTAAAATGAGAAAGTACTCCAACCTTTACTATTCTAATAAAAATTGTATTCTACCATATTATTCTAGCATAACTCATGATTTTTCCCTATGGATGTGTGACAGATTATGCATAACTTCTATATATTATACTGATATTTAGTCAGATTAAAAAATAGGAAGAGGACTCTCCCACATGATGGTAACTTCCTGTAATCTCATCACTCAGGAAGTGGAGGCAGGAAGATCCAGTTATGTGTAAGCCTGCAGGATATGGTGGGACTCTTGTCTATTAATGATGGAGGAGGGTCTTCTTTCTATCTGTTGTTTCATTGGTTAAGTAATAAAGAAACTGCTTGGCCTCTGATAGGACAGAAAATTAGGTAGGCGGAGTAGACAGAACAGAATGCTGGGAGAAAGAAGCTGAGTCAGGGCAGTCGCCATGATTCTCCCACTCCAGACAGACGCAGGTTAAGATCTTTCCTGGTAAGCCAGCTCGTGGTGCTACACAGAATATTAGAAATGGGTTAGATCAATATGTAAGAGCTAGCCAATAAGAGGCTGGAACTAATGGGCCAGGCAGTGTTTAAAAGAATACAGTTTCCGTGTAATTATTTCAGGTAAAGCTAGCCGAGTGGCGGGATGCAGCCCACCGCTCTTATTACAACATATTAATAGTAGTAGTCACAGTTGTCGTAGTAGTAAGAGAAATAAGTCATGAAGGTGGGAAGGAGTTGGAAAAGTGAGGTGTGTCTGGGAGGAGTTAAAGAGATGAGTGTACTGACTATGATACAAATGGACAGAATGAGTTAATAAAATACCATGTTAATCAAGTTAACAGGGAAGGGTCATAAATGTATGGCCCTTGAACTCTTTCATTTAGTCTCAACTATTTATTTATCTTCATTCTTGCTGTTAAAATTTCTTTTAACATATTTTACATTCCTTTTTATCATCAAGTATTAAGTCTACATTGTGTGGTCTGATGCTTTGGTCATTTCTATCGTCCATTTTATATCATCAATAAAGCAGACAAATATTCAAATCAGTGTCAGGGAAAGTTCACAGGAGTGTAATTAGTTAGTCAAAGAATACAATGGTTTGAAAGCTTAGGGTAAATATTGACCAAATGATCTTGATAAAAATTGTCCTATGTTTCCCACACCAAGTTTCCTCATGATCTCACATATTCACCCTAACACTTGGGGCTTATTATTTAGAAAGAAATTCTTGTCACCTTCAGAGATAAAAGCTGCTACCTGGTTATAATTTTTAATTGGTGTTTATTTGCTGACTTGTAGCCCTTCAAATTTTTCTACTCTGAAAACTGTTCATGCCCTATGTCCATTTGCCTACCAGGTCAGGCGTCCATATTTTGTCTGTGTCCTGCACTGACAATGAAAGCATCGTTCAAGTGCTAAACTCAGCCTGAATCCCATTATGATACAAAGTAATTGAAGGTGGTTAATGCTGTTTACAAATCATAGATCAGTTTTATTTCATCATGGAAATAAAAAGTTACATTCACAATTAAGTCTGTCTGCTCAGTAGAACTCAGTCAAGTAAGACAAGCGCTCCTAAATTTTGACTCTAAAAATGGCTCGCATTCTTATGGTAGCCAAGCACTATCCCAACCTCATTACCAAAGCACCCAATACATTTCTGTGTCCGCTTCATTTATTACCTGCCGTAAACTGGCTGCATATCTTTAGCACTAGCTATGCACAATTAGCAATCGGTGATTGTCTTGTCGCTGTGGTCCTTGCAAGACAAACTTCCTCGATGCAGAAAGTCAGCTCATCTTCATCAGTCAGGCAGCACACACAGACGTGGTCACCCTGAATACAGATGGGTCTCAAGGTAGGAGATGCCCCTCTTCCACTGAATGTTGCTGTGGAGACTTATCCAGTGTGGCCACTTCCAGACGAAGCCTTGCAAAGCCTTGTTGCAACACTCAGTAGGAAGACCAAAATTATTCCAAATATTAAAAAAAAAAACAGTAAAATAGGGGCTGGGGAAAATTCTCATCAAGTGAAGGTCAAGTGATTACTGCAACAACAAGAAGACCCGAGCCAGATACACGGCACCGATCTAAAAGTCCAGGCTAGTGGTTACATGCCTGTAATCTAAGTGTTGGGGACACAGGAATAGGCAGTTCCAGGAAGCTTGTTTACTTGGCCATTTAGCTGAATATGCAAACCCCAGATTCAATGGGAGACTATCTTAAAAGTCAAAAAGGTTCAGTCAGATGGCTGAGTAGATAAAACACTTGCCACCACCTTGGAGAATCTGACTGTGATTCTGGAAATCCACAGTGTAGGACCGA